TCCAATCCACTTTACTTATAGCAATGTTCATAAAAACAAGTTTCCAAAGTGTTGCACAGAGACAAAACTGCCAATCTGCCAGCTTTATGAAAAAAAACTACATTGAGCTATAGAAAATATACACAATCAAACATACAGTATATTTACCACCCAAATGTACAACCACAAATATCCAACAAATACCAATGACAATCAATATAGAGTTTACCCATTTACAATTCAGTACTTATCAGCCATTTATTGAGTAAACAAAGAATGTGTTTAGAATATAGTGATGCCAGACATAAAGTAAATCTAAATACAGTTGGATTTTGACTTTCCCCTTCTGTAGACAGACAAGCCCTTTATCCAGTACAATACTCCAGCTGCTAGTTTAAGATGCAGCACATTTCTTCTAATATGCCCATAGAGCATGCTCCCTAATCTAATTAGAGTGTCAGTCAGCGCGCTGCTCATCCAGAGAGAAATGAGCCAAAATCTACAACGGCAAAAATCGTCTTGGAGGCATGTGGCATATCTGCCTTTTCTCTCTCCTCCTCCCACCTCTTTCAGATGTTTTAATGGTTTCAAAATCGCCCCTGCCGAGATTCATTACCTGAACTAATTATAAAGGCAAATGAAATCAACTCCAATACATTATTAATAAGAACGACACATTAAAATTCATTTGCAGTATTTCCTGCAATATTCTATAGTTCTGGGTAGTTTACATTGCCTGATTGAAGACGCATGCAGATAAGGAAATGTATGAGAGACAGATGGAAGATAAGTGGACATAATGACAGAAATGTTGAATCAAAAGGCGGGGGGGATTGAGGAAGTTGTTTGGTGAGGTGTTTCAAAGATACAGCATAAGGCTTTTTTCCACTGGATGAAATATTGACGCCCGTGTCCTGCAGTTACGGTCGATCAAAGAGCACAACATAAGCTCCTATGTACAGATCAGCCAAAACCTTAAAATCACTATGCTAACTATACAAAAATGTTCTTCTTCCTTATACTTTACATACTGTTGTAAATACAGTGGACCCGGAAAGTATTCACAGCGCTTCACTTTGTCCACATTTTGTTATGTTTCAGCCTTATTCCAAAATTGATTTAATTATTTTTTTCCCTCACAATTCTACACACTTCTCCCCATAATGACAACATGTTTTTTTTTTTAGATTATTGCAAATGTATTAAAAATAAAAACAAAGAAATCCCACGTACATACAGTAAGTATTCACAACCTTTGCCGTGAAGCTCAAAATTGAGCTCAGGTGCATCCTGTTTCCACGGATCATCCTTGAGATGCTTCTACTGCGTAAGGAGTCCACCTGTGGTAAATTCAGTTGATTTGACTTGATTTGGAAAGGCACTCACCTGTATATATAAGGTCCCACAGTTGACAGTGCATGTCAGAGCACAAACCAAGCATGAAGTCAACGGAATTGTCTGTAGACCTCCAAAACAGGATTGTCTCGAGGTACAAGTCTGGGGAAGGGTACAGAAAAATGTCTGCTGCTTTGAAGGTCCCAATGAGCACAGTGGCCTCCATCATCCGTAAATGGAAGAAGTTTGGAACCACCAGGACTCTTCCTGGAGATGGCCGGCCATCTAAACTGAGCGATCGGGGGAGAAGGGCCTTAGTCAGGGAGGTGACTAAGAACCCGATGGTCACTTTGTCAGAGCTCCAGCGTGGAGAGAGGAGAACCTTCCAGAAGGACAACGCTCTCTGCAGCAATCCACAAATCAGGACTGTATGGTAGAGTGGCAAGACGGAAGCCGCTCCTTAGTTTGAAGTTTGCCAAAAGGCACCTGAAGGACTCTCGGACCATGAGTAAAAAAATTTTCTGGTCTGATAAGACAAAGATTGAACTCTTTGGCTGAATGCCAGGCGTCATGTTTGGAGGAAACCAGGCCACCAATCACCAAGCCAATACCATCCCTACAGTGAAGCATGGTGGTGGAAGCATCATGCTGTGGGGATGTTTTTCAGCAGCAGGAACAGGGAGACTAGTCAAGATAGAGGGAAAGATGAATGCAGCAATGTACAGAGACATCCTTGATGAAAACCTGCTCCAGAGCGCTCTTGACCTTAGACTGGGGCGACGGTTCATCTTTCAGCAGGACAACGACCCTAAGCACACAGCCAAGATAACAAAGAAGTTCAACTCTCTCAGGACAACTCTGTGAATGTCCTTGAGTGGCCCAGCCAGAGTTGAATCCAATTGAACATCTCTGGAGAGATCTGATATTGACACTCCCCATCCAACTTTTTAATTTTTAATACATTTACAAGAATCTCAAAAACTTTTTTCAAGTTGTCATTATTGACCAGATGCATCAACGTCATCCAGTCACGTGATTGTGAATGAGCTTACGGCGGAAGTATTGGAAACTAGCATTGCAGCGAGAGCGAAACGGACTACAACTCTTAAAAACTGAGCTTCCTCTCCTAAATCGAGAAGTGGCTGCTTCAAGCACATGTTCGATTACGTTATAGGTGGAAGTAGGACATCAGGTCAGGGCTCACAAAGAGTGGTATTTGGAGAAGTTAAGGATCGCCTAACTGGATGTTGACCATCCAGTTAGGCGATCCTTAACTCCCGTACCTTCTCCCCCCAGTCAATTTTATCGATTAAATAAAATGTCTATTTTTGCCCGAATTCACCCTACATTATCTTTATCATTATTGTTAACAATGCATCCCCTCACATTGGAGCAGATTTATATGTACATTTTGCTGTTAGCATTAGCAATAGTCCACTTTTCTGTGGCTTTTCCGTCTACAGCCAAACATGATACGTACTGACGGAGAGGAAAATAGTGAAACACGCAATTGACTTAAAAGATAAAAATGTCAATGTTGCAGCGCACATACAGGACAGTAGTAAGAGACACGTTTGATGTGTGTCATTGTGCTCCAAATGAATGGAAATAAAATAAATACAAACTTGTGATTGCTTTATCTTGTAAAAAGTGTTCACTGCATATTAGGGAGTACTTGGATGGGTCCCAGTCCTTTTGGTTGATTGCAGCTGGCCATCGTCGTCTTCTGTTTTCGTGACGAGCAGGTATCAGATAGAAAAGCTTATGTCCTTGCCTGTTAGTATAATCAACCGCACTGCAAAATGTCAGTTTTGGCTGTAATGCGCTGAATCAGGTTGTTTTGGTCGGGTGTCCGTAGGCTCGCAGTTAGACTTCTGCCGTCTGTCATGGAGAGTGGGCGTGGCCGGGACGTCACATGCAAGGGGTCAATAGGGTGTTGTGTGTAGAATTGTGAGGAACAAAAATAATTGAATCATTTTTGGAATAAAGCTGTAACATAACAAAATGTGGAAAAAGTGCGGATGCACTGTACATACAGTATATATATATTTTATAATAGATTATATCTGTTCACATCAACCCTGTGTAGCACTGCCGATTCTAGTTTGTGCCTGAAGTATTCTACCTCATTCTTCAAATGTATAACCTCTATGTTCATTCGCCGAATCACACAAACCTGTGTAGTGCAAATAAAATTATGGCTAATTGGACACGAAGGTCAAGAACACCCCAACATGTCACGTGTACACTATGATCTCTATTAAACATTTAGGTGCTGGAATTTTTCCCAGAAAATATATGTGAAACAGACATAAGCCAAAAACCCCTGAAGAGGGCAACAAATCATAAATATATATAATATTAATATGTAGGAAACATGTAGGGAAACACTTGTGAGAAGCCGGGTCCTGGATTTAGGAGAATAGGCATGACATCATGGAAAAAAAGTTTTCAGTACGTTCATTTCATTTAAACAGATGGATGTAATGTTGTAGCTTTAGTATGTGTGCAATGTGCATATTAACTAAAGGACAATGGCAGAATGTCCACCCCTCAGCACAGCACAAGCTCAGCAGAGTAAGCGACCATGAATAAAAATGGACTTTGCAGCAAACTAGGGCTCATAATTATTCGTTTTAAATCAGTTAAAGCCTTTTCTCAAATATCCCCCAGGAGGCGCGGGGTTAAAAATCCATTTGTGGGAAGTGTAGCATGACAGCGAGCTCGTCTCCCAGGAGACAGAGGATACGGTAGCAGACACTTGTCTATTGGGGCTATATATACAACCATGTGTGTGTGTCGGAAACATCAGTATGCATGCAACTTCGCCAAGCGTTTGAGTGTTAGCAAATTTGGCAGTAAGTGAAGCATGAGAAGTCACAAACAGACACACAAACTCAGATGAAACCATTTCTTCTGTTTGAGATTTCAAGAGCGGATGTGCACTTGTTTTAAAGGTCACGTGTGGAGAGGTGTAATGCTTCAGCCTCTGTGGCCTGGAACCAAACCACCGGGAACTCCTCCAGAATACAGAGTGGGACATAAAAAGCCCTACAGCAGAGGCGGAGGGGACCAAGACACTACGCTACTCCTAACTCAGGTCAAATCGATCCACTAATTGCATTTTTGTCAGAATTCCTAATTTGCAGGATTGATCATTTGGAAGTAGAGCACAGAGAAATGACAAAAAAGTTAGGATGTGCTCGAAGCAAGGATTTATTTTGATTTGAATATATTTTTGCGGTCTAAAAATAAGATTTGCGAATGGAACAAGCACACAATGTCTTGTTTTGCTGAAAATAAGAAAACTCAATGAGTAATTTCACACTTGAAATGAAGAAAAATGGACTAAACCTCAAGGTTACAGTATAAAGGAAATGTTATTCTAAGACGAAATTAAAGGAACAAAAATGCTTGGCTCATATTAAAGGCAAGAAATGTGGTTTGATAGAGGTCCTATTTCAGAGAGGGATTTGACTGGTCTCACCTCTGCCATAAATATTTCTCGCCCTAAGCCTGGGTGTGTGAGAGCGTGTGGACTTGGTGGAGCGGATATTTGGTCGAGGTTCAGGGGGATACTGAGGGACACTAGGGGAGACTGGGGGGGCGGATGAAAGGGGCCGGAGACTAGGGAGGAACCACATAGAACAGAGCGGGTTTGTTACAGATACGAGTGTTTTTTTTACCGTCACACCGTCCTGCCACACATGCTCCTTCTGAAGCTGCTCCGCCTCCCTCGCCAGTTTCTGCAAAAAACACACAAAAACAATATATTTGATTACATCTAGACATCTGGCACTTGAAAATATTGCATTTTGTAAGAAGATTAATTGAGTAGTTTTGTGACAATACCATATCAAGAAAGAATTGAGTTTAAAGCAGGAGGAGTACAGTAGCTCAGTTGGTAGAGCATTGGCCTTTGAGCCAGAGGGTCATGGGTTCGAGCCCGACCTTCACCATCGACTCCCACTGTCTGCTGTCGTTGTGTCCTTGGCAAGACACTTAACCTCTGGGAACACCAGCCACAGTGGGGCGGCTGCGGCTGTAAAGTGCCAAACTGCCGTTGTGTCCTTAGGCAAGACACTTCACCCCCATTGCCTAGAATGAGTCTGGTGTGTGGGAATGGTTGGTGGTGGTCGGAAGGGCCGATGGCGCAGATTGGTTGCCTCGCTTCTGTCAGTGTGCCCCAGGGCAGCTGTGGCTACAGTAGTAGTTTATCACCACCGTGTATGGAGTGAAAGAATAATGACATGTGAAGGGTCTTTGAGTGTCCAGAAAAGCGCTATATAAAACCGATTGCATTATTATTAAAGCAAAAATGTAGAAAAGACATGAACAGAAACGCATTGCTACAAAAAGGGCAACAACAACAATATAACACAATCAGAAGACAGATTTTTTTCTTTCCAAAACAAAGCAACTTCACACCATTCTCCAGTCTGAATCTCATAATCTAAAAGTTGACCTGTTTATTGTGTAAGTCCAAAACAAATATCGTCAATATCATCAATCGAAATACAAATGCTAATGTGAAATATCAAATAGAAAATATCAACAACATGAAATATATTCAACATAACATCTGAATTTTATAATATATTACCACAGTAAATAAACTTGGTTAGACACCGTTTTGGACAGAGATCGGTATGGACAGAAACATGTCTGTGTTGAGATTAAGAATTCACTGAACACTGAGAAAAAATAATAATGACACAGACTTTTATTTTCAGTTTGAAAGTGATGCAATTACTTGAAATAGCAGAAATGAGACATGATGTATTAAATGTGGAAAATTCATTCTGTCTGAGACATGATGTGATGAACTTCCTGCACTAAATACATGAAGCAAAAACAGAAGTGACTCACAATTAGACTGAAAGACATTTATCTGAGACGAAAACAGTCTGAAAAGGCGCATAGTATTTACATCTGTTAGTATTTCTGTCTCACATCATGGCATTAAATACATCCATCTAAATCTATAAAAAAATGTCTAACCATATCTGTTTGAATGTAATTGTTCATAGTGTTATGCCAAATGGTACATGACACGTGAGTGTCTCCATTGTGAGATCAATAAAGTTTATCTTATCCTAAAAACGAGCAGAAAAGGACAACCTAAGAAAACGTAGATTTAACTCCACATACAGATAATTAGCATAATAACTAACTACACAAAATCCTAATAAAATAACATATATGGTAAGTAATTGCTGAACTATTCCTCTGCGGGCCCTTTCCTCCATAGCCCAAAAGCTTCATGAAGTCAATGAACTATGTCCACTGCCACAGGTGATTATTATTATCCAAATGCAGGTTTTTGTATTTTAAAAAAAAGACACAAAATCATATATTGTTTTTGTTCCGGCCCCAGATAAAGGGGAAGAAAATGGATTGCAATGAGAAGGTTGAAAAGCAGGTCCACAACATTACGCCTGACAATGTCATAATGGACATAATGAAGATTATTTAGACAGAACCAGCAGGACACAAATTGGCGGTATACTTAACATTTCATTTCTAATTTATTCACAGGTATGCTTTCATCACAGAAGAGGCACCTTTCATAGACACAGTATAGCAGCAGCCGTTTATAATCCAGCCAAGTATATTTGATCATATTCTGGTCTACTGTCAGTTCTGCCTTAATGCTTAAATCTTGCCTCAGTTATCTTCCCAATCGCTTTATCTCTGAGCAGGAATCACAACTATAAACCCTATTCTCTGTGCCCCCAAGTACCATTTCTCCACTCATATTTCCTCCCTCTTTGTACAGTATTTTCTGAGCCATATCTCTTCTGGTGCAGCCTCCGAACAGCCATGTGTCTCCATGTGTCTCTGGCTCTTGTGTTGGGCCCAGATAGATGGCCAAAGCCAACAGTGAGTGAATCAGTGTGAGCGATGTGCTGAGGTGGGGGCAGGGATACATCATCTCTGCTGCGGGTGGTGGCTTAGTGCACTGGAAGAGCCAATAGTGAGATCAGCATAGAGCAGCTCTGATAACACAACACATAGCACTATAGGCACATGCTGAAGGTTTACCAGTGAAAGGAGGAAGTAGATAACTTGGAGTAACAAACTCTTCGGCACATAGTTAGTGTTCACAAAGGACTGACCGATGCACCTCCATTATTTTTCATACACTATACTGAATCTGCATCAGCTCTCAGCACAATGTGGTATATAGAAACTCACATGGCGTCACGATGAATTGATAAATTGTAATTGTTGTGGTTGCAAAAAGCAAATCGCAAGGACTGCAATTATTTAAGTACTTTGCAAACAAAAAGGGACTACAGCAATGTTCTCAAACATGCAGGCTATTTTGCAGGCCGCGTGCCGCATGTTTGAGACTACTGCTTTTGTGCCCGCCTAGTGGACATCAAACTTTAATGTCAGTGCATAGATATTTGCTCCAATGTTCCCAATGTTCATAAATATTCCTACACCTTCTCCCAGATTCAACCATATGTGGCCTCCAGATAAATTGAGTTTGAGACCCCTGGACTAAAGTTAGGGATACAAAAAAACTTTAATTTGGGAAAAAAATATTGATTATTTTACTATTCCATCCATCCATCCATTTTCTACCCTTCAATCCATCCCTGGGTCAGGGGGGTGGCAATCAGAGATGCCACCCAAGTCTCACAGCACCAGCCCCTCACTGACCCTCTGCAGGTGGTGAGTCCACAGGAGGATGGCTGCTCTGAGTGTGAGCATAGCCTTGATCTTTCAGTGGGGGCTTTGGGCAAAGTGGGGTTAAGTGTCTTGCCCAAGGACACAACGACAGCAGTCATCAGTGCTGTCATCAGTATTTTACTATTCAACCTAAACATTTTACTACAATGTGGACACAACAACAGTTTGTCAATAACAAAGGCACCCCACCTGGAGTTCCCAGAGGTCTCCCTTCACAGCACTAACCAACTCCTGCTCTGCTTAGCTTCATAGGTCTGACAGGCTCTGACATGTAGGTAGGGCCATACAGAAGGGCTTGCACAATGAGATGCATAAAACAAGATATTTCTATATGCTCAGGGTTTGTGGATTATGTAATGAATGCACATTGTTACAGAGGTCTGAAATAGTCTGAGTCGAGTGGGCTGTGGAGTAGGAGGGTGACAGAGCGGAAAAAACATATCACAATAAATAGAAAATTTTCTTCAACGATAAAGGGATGACACTGTAAAAGAGCACAGGATTCTCTAAGGCCAAGTCTGCAACAAAGTGGACATATGAGAATAAATATTCACCCATGTGTGTAAATATTAATTTGCGTTTTACTCTGAACAACTATCAAAGCCGCGATCCATATCCTCATGTACTCATTGGCCTTGCTAGTTTGCACATGGAGTTGAAGTTGAGGTCATGGTCTCCATGAGAACAAAGTTTCCTTCATTGTGACAAGACAAAGTTCCATATAGACCTCACATGCTGCATGACTAATGGAATTATTGTCATTGATATGTCAAACAGCCTGCAGCTCCTGCCTCTGCTGTCTCTGCTGATGGCAAAGCTTTATGCTCCCTCACTGTGAACTCCAGACTGAGAAGACATGACCAAAAATCATCGAGAAAATCTCAGCGTGAAACGATTAGGATCTTTAATATTCATCACTGTACTCTGTTATTCCGTGGTTTAATCACTCAAAGTCGTGTTCTTTCTGTGGGAATGACAGCGCACCAGGGGCAGTCGGCACCACGCTGCTCTGAGTCTCAGCTCCTCAGACGCCTGGTGAAGGCCTGTTAGCGCTGCAGCAACTGCAAGACCATTCTGAGCAGTGCATTGTGGTCTGAGAGAGATTACGAGGAACTTTTCAACAATGCTAAAATGCACAACTATATACTACTTCAGACAATTAAAAAAGCGGTGCGACTGTTATTGCTCTTCCAGTATCAGCTTTATTTGGCTTAGGCTTTTATTTTGTCTAACCTCGTCCTCTGTACATCCATGTGTAATACTTGGTGCATCCTTCATGAATGATAATATAAATAGAAAAAGACTTGGCCTAAAAGGACATAATATTATTATGTACGAGAATACAAATACTCTTTAAAAAAAGAAAGGAAAGTTAACTTATAAATTATCAGAAAATGCCTGACCACAAGTCAAGACAAATATGGTATTTACATATTCTGAAATGGAGCCCTCTCAGACCAAAGCTGCGTCCAAATTTAGAGAACATGCCTTCGTCCATATTCTTTCTTGTCCTTTAAAAATGGCTGATGGGTATCTGCAGGTTTGGTCAAGTAAAACTTTTTTAAATGCCATGCAAAAAGGGGGGAAGGGGGTGGAGTAATTCGCAATGTCAATGGACAAGAGAAGGAAGGACAAGGAAGGAGTTTGCTTTAATGATGCCTTGTGTTTTTGTCACTGTAAGAAACACTGCAGTAAATTATGTCTGAAAGAATGATAATAAAAGTAAACATTTTGCACCAACACTTACTGCACAAAGCACAATCTGTTCTAACAGTTTTTTGTGTACGTCTATACTAGCCTCTTGTGAACCCTGTTAGCCTCTTATAGCATGCATTAACTTAAAGGCCACTTGGAGCAGCAGAGAGTTAGCACTCAGAGGCAGCGCACTTTGTATGTGATTGTAGCCCTCCACCATGCACTCAACATGTTCCAAATGACCAGCTCCCATCTCCATTCCCTTCAGTCACCTTGGGGACCGCAGACTGTGAAATGGCCCGGCTATAAGGTCACTTAACCTCCCACAAGATTCACATCAACAGCAAAG